TGGAGGAGCGCATTCGTAAGCGCCGCGCACTATCAGCGCAGGCACGGGCTCAAGCCGAAGAAGCCCGTAGAAAGTTGCAGAAAGAAGTGGCCAAGAAGCCGCCACCAACTCGCAAAGTTTGGAGGCCGAAGTCTGAAGCGGCGGTTCAGACCAAAAAGCAGCAACTGCGGCCTCCAACCAAAATTCAACCTCCGGCGAACCAAGCTAAGTCGCCGAGAATTCCCATAGCTACTCCGGGAGATCATGCAGAATCCTCCCGAAGGAGAAAGCCAGTCTTGGAGCGCCTCGGTCCAATTCCCGACGAGAGAGGCAAAGCTCCAGTTCACGAGCGTTTGGGCCCGATAAAGAAGCCCAGAATAACTCAACACGCTGGGGGTCGCCGTCAACTCCAGTATAACAAAGAACTCAAGGCAGCTGCGCTCACCAACTTGCGCATCGAAGTCCAAGAGCACGCTGAAGACTCGCGCCCACAAAGGCACATTTCGAGGCGTGTAACTTTTGAAAGCCCAAAGAAGGCAATCCAACCTCAGATGGAAACATGGTTCACACAAGGCTGCAGTCTAAGGTGAAACCAAGAATGTCAAACCTGCCATGCACCACACCGTGTAACAACATGTTTTACCATCACAATTAACATATATCTAGTAGAGTCAACAACAGGTGTAGGTACAAAAGTAAGTAAAAGATAATACAAGAAGACTGATGAAATGATAATAATCAACTTAATGTCTCATCATCCAACAAATACTCCGACTGTCAAAATGACGAGTTGTACTATCGTGCTGGGGGTACGAATAGAACCAGGAAGAGGATTCTCCGAGAACAGGAAACTCAATGCCCCTATTCCAAACTCATTCGGGTGGTATTGTCTGAATGCAACTGCATTAAGGCAGTCCCCGAAAGAGTTTTAGTTTTTGAGAGACTTAGTGCGGAAATGCCAAAACCAAGGCGTAGGCATTTTCGGCAAAGAAGGACGATGGTTGAAGATGAAGAATTCCCGAGGGTCACCGCTAATATGACAAGCAAAGAGACCTCATCACGGGATAATCTCGAGTCGATTCTGAAAGCATCCCGACGTCTAACCCGTCTGGATATACTAATGGAATGATAACAGTCACATAAATATCTCATCATCCCACATACAGAAATACATAGCCAAGATCTGAGTAGATAAACTGGAATACTCAACAAGTCTCAAATACAAATATCTGACCAGAAGGAAATAAGGCACACAACCTTTATAACTTCTAGAACAAGACTCTCAAATGTCTAAACACAAGTCTACTGTGGAACTCCAAAATAAAATATATAACTAGCTAGACAGCTGAAGCTAAAATGCATCGCCGTCAACCTGCGACTCTCCGGGCTCCTGGCTCGTTACCTGAAAGGGGGAGGGACAACGAGAATCAAAGCGCTAGCGAGTAACATCACAACCAACCCCAAGGGAACATGGCTCGTTGTATAAGAAAATATAGATAATACATAATAGATCTAAAATCATTGATCTTACTAAAGAGGGTATTAGTATTTAGAAATTTACAACACGAGATTAGGTACGTCGAGCGAACTAATCCAAACAAGGAAACCCTCATGTATATACCTTACATCTCAAATTGTAAACTCCTAAATACCAAACCCAATATTCTAGTACAGTAACAATAATAAAAGAAATACGACAAACACCAGAGCATAATTACAGTGCTGTGACATAGCCTTTAGTTTGATTAACTTTACGCCGTTTGATGGGAAGGGTTCCCCCACTCAGCATTTGATTTATTTCAAAACGCACCTGGGTGTTATTTCCGGCAATGAGCCTCTGATGGTGCGGTCATTCGTCGGCACTCTTCGCGGAGCCGCCTTCGATTGGTATCGCCGCCTCAAGCCAGGAAGCGTAAATAGCTGGGACGACATGGAGACCAAGTTCCTTGCCAATTTCTTCGACGACGACACCGAGGTATCTATCGGATCGTTGCTCGATGAGAAGCAGAAGGACGGAGAGTTAGTCGACACCTTCGTCAAAAGATTCCGGAACAAAGCGATGAATTGCCGGGACCCGATCACCGAGGAATTCATTCTCCAGACCTGCCACAATAACCTCGCGTTGGACGTGCTAGAAGCAATGTCGCGGTCGACCGGTGCGGGCGACCGCAGACTACTTCTGCCCCTACAGCGAGCCCAGCGATCGACCGCACCGGTCGACCGCCAAGCGGACAGAAACCCAAATCTGGGTTTCTGTCAGCTCGAAACCTGAAATAAAATTTGACAATTCTCCTACGATAACAGGAGTTCTAATGATTCAAAAATACTACAGAAGATAAACAGCTAATCCCAAGCCTGAAATCTACATTTCCAATATTCTAAATACATGAGAAACGAACCAAAAACGTTTTAAAAACAGTAAAAATGATTTATCTCTTGTTTAGGCAAATTTCAGATCTAGATCTTTATTAAACGGAACATTGGTGAACTTTTATAACCCAAAACCATTGATTCTTGCTAACCATATAATAGAGAGTTCATTTTTATACAAAAATACCATTTTGGCTCATCAAAACTCATAAAAACTCAAAAGAAAACCATAGAAAGTAGGGGTGAGGGATTGGGCGAGATGATACTCGCCTCAGGTGAGCAATGGATCTCTGGATCTGAAGGAGAACGTTTCCCTTCGCTGAATCCCACCAAAAACTGCTGCAAATCCTCAAGAGCTTCTCCCAAATCACCAAACAAAGAGGATTAGGGTTTTAGGGAAGAGAGGGGGGCTAGGGTTTTGGTTTCAGATCTGAGGGAGGCTCTCTCGGGCACATTAGCTTATATACCAAACCCACAACCCAACCCGAAACCCGATTAAACCCAAACCTGAGAAAAAAAAACTCTTTGACCGCTGTGCGGTTGACCAACGCGGTCGACCGCCACGGTCGACCGCGTCGGTCGACCGCGCAGCAAAAAAATGCCTGCTGCTAGGCATTTAACATGCTGGTCATCTCACTCAATATCTTTCACATAGAAACACTTGATGGGTTCTCAAATACAGAAAAACATATAAATCATATATACATATGATTATTTATCACAAAGAAATATTTATTACTATTAATTCACATATTTCATTATAAAAAGATTTCGGGGTTTTACAATATATACCCACTTTAGAGGGGCAGAAGTGTAACTATGGTCAAATCCAAGCATACAGCTGACTCGACAAGTGGTTGACATGTGTCAACTGCTCATGCAAGGAGTCACCATTGATTGGATGTGATGGTGATTGAGAAGGTATTGGGAGTGGGTGATGAGTTATGGAGACTAGTGGGGCTAGCTGTAATGAAAAGGGACAACTGTTGGTGTGGATTTCGAGGATGAATCGCCCCTTGCATCGGCTCTGCAAGTGGGACGACAAGTACCATCTTTCTAGTCTGCCACGAAAGTTGTCGACCCACTCTAAGTGAATGAGGAGAGGTCGACTCGATTGATGAGATCGAGTGAGAGCTGGTCTTAACTCAGCCTGGCTCGAGAGGGGTCGAGTGTCCAAGTGACTCGAGTCACTCTTGGCAAGGGGAAGCTAACTTGGTTGATTAGTGCTGATATGAGACACGTGTCGACTCTAGGAGGAGGATTAACTCTTAGGTTAATTATGGCCATAAACATTGGCCCTTTTCGCTTAGACCCGGGATAGTTGAGTCCGAGTGAAATAGGACTATAGTTAGCCGGCTACCGAGGAACATTTATGAGGGGTGCTGAAGGTTCTTTTCAAATACAATGTTACTAACATCAGAGGATAATTCTAGGTTGTCGCTACCTTGATTTTTGTGCGGAGAGTGCAGGCTATTCACAGTAAGGGGTGCCTTGGTTCTGGAGAGGTTGCCTCATATTTTTGGAACGATATCAGCCATTGGTCCTAAACTGAGTCGGTCGTTGTGATCTTGCCACCTGTCTATCCTTCTGCCTATAAGTACACTACTCCGATTGCGAAGGATTACTATTGTTTACCAAATTCTTG